CAGGGCAGGGGCCAGGCAGACTTGGGCTCCGATCTCTCCCCACCCCTAGAGGCCGCCTCTGTAACATGGGAGCCATCACGGAACCTGCCCCCCAGGGTGGGCGACGGGGCTGCTGGATCTCAGCACAGACCAGACGCCACCAGATGGAGGGGCCGCCTGCTGTGGGCCGCCCGCTCTGGGCACGCGGGTCAGTCCTGCCCGGGCGCCCGCGCAGGAGGCACGTGGGGGCGAAGTCCGGCCCAGGCCACCGCCCAGCCCTCACCCTAGGGCTGTGTTCATGGAGAAGAGGTGCTTCCACGGCCTCCTGTTCACCTGCGGGCGAGGGAGCGGTGACCGGATGGCCTCACACCCGACACGGGCCTGACGGGGCGGACGGTGGCGTGGAGCTCACACCCTCACCCTGGCCCCGTCTGCACTCAGGTCCTGAGGGAGGGGCCGTGGCTGGTTGGAGTGATGTCACAGGATCCGGGAACTGCCTGGTCCCCCCAGATACGAGGGGTCGCCCGGCCAGGGGACCTTGTCCAGGGAGCAGAGGGGAGAGAAGCGCGCGGTTAGGCCATCGGAGGCCCTCCTGGTTTCACCAGATGTCCCGAAGCCCCCGCCATCGGGCCTTTAGACCTCACACCACAGGCGCCTTTTTGCCGTTTGTCTGTCCCAAGGGGTCACGCTCTTCACATTCACACAGACCCTCCCTGTGCTGGCAGCAGCCCGGGCGTTGAAACTGAGGGTAATTGCACTGACCACCTATGTGGGAGGCGCAGAAACTAACGCCCAGAGACATGGAGTGACATGGCGAACCCCGGCCGTCTCCCAGCCCAGGGCCCCTTCCGGACACCAAGCTCCTGCCTCGCCTGCACCCTTCGTGCCCCGTTATCTGCAGCCTCATCACAAAGCTACGTGCTTCCCTGGGGATCGGACTCTTCAGACAGCTGTCCACTCTCCTTGGCCAACTCAGGGGACCCTCACGTCCCAGGCTCCCCCTCCAGGCTCCCCCTCCCCTCTCCCCTCCGATGCCCCAGACCGATCAAACCCAATTCAAGTCACATCTCCTGTCGCCCAAAGCCCTCCGGCGCCCTGTGATCACGATCTTTCTCCCCCAGCCTTCCTTCACATGTAATAAATTGTAAGTGACTTAAATGACACATCGTCTGTTCTTGGATCGTCATGGAATTAAACTAGAAATCAGTAACAGAGAGAAATCTAAAAACCTCCTTCAAACTAAACAGCACATTTCTAAAAGACCCACAGGTCAGAGAAGACATCACAAAGAAAATTAGAAAATATTTGGAACTGGTTTTAAAATTTTTAATGACACATCAAAAATTGTAGGATGAAATTAAAGCAGTGATTAGAGTAAAATTTATATCATTAAATACCTACATTAAAAAGGAAGAGAGTCTCAAATACATCAGCTTAGGCAATGAGAAGAAAAAAGCAAATTAAACCTAAAGTAAGTCAGAGACCGGAAATAATAAACAGTACAGACCCAAGAAATAGAAAATGATTTTTAAAAAAATCAACCAAACCTGAAGCTGGTTATTTAAGAAGATCAATAAAATCTATAACCTCTAGACACTGATTTGGGAAAAAAAAAAAAAAAGACACACATCATCAGTATCAGAAATGAAAGCGGAAGCATCACCATAAATCCTACAGACATTAAAATGATAAGGGAATAGTGTGAGCAATA